TCACAACCGCCTGTGGGGCATCGGACGAGCTCGATGGCGGTGGAATTGGCCCTATCGAGCTACCTGGAGGTGGTGGTGGGGCATCCGACGAGCTCGAAGGAGGTGGAAGTGGGGCATCCGGCTCGATCAATCTGACAATATCATTTAGGGTCCCCCACATGACCGTATGAGCGTCGGATGGCGCAAGTCCCCGCACATCGCTAAGTGTACCCTTCACCAACTCCAAAATTTGTGAAAGTTGGACCTCCTTATCGGTACCACCCCCTGGACGAGCTTCATGGGGTCGAGGTCGATCCGCCTGGGGTCGAGGTGGATGGGCTCCATGCCTACTCAGTTGTAACATGCATCTAGGTCGGAACCAATCCATGTAGTCCAGCGAAGTGTCCGCCTCCCCGAGTTCAACTTCAACGGACCTCGACTCCTCGTCCAGACAATACTCCTCCCAGCGATCAGAGAATCGTTCGCCGTACGCAACGAAAATCGAGTTCTGGACCGGTCGACCTTTGCTAACTAGAGCTTTGTACATATCTTTTGACATGTATGCACGACCTGGAATGATTTGCACCCGGTTGAACTGCATCAACACTCTGTCCGGATGATATGCCTCGAAGTGGTCCATGCAACATATCATCCCACTAAACCAAGCAGAATCTAGCATCGGGAAACGATCACGAATAGCCGTATACGGTGACCATACGACCTAGTAAAATAAATAAAAAATTAGATTTAAAAACCTACTTAAGTAGTAATAACAAATTATTAAACTGGTATTTTACCTGATCGGGGATCAAATCATCTAATCGAGATCGCAGGTACGACGCTCGTTCAGGCGTTGAAGTAGTCTTTGACTGAGGCTCCCATCGGCTCGCTAATGGCCCCTCGAATTCCGTCTTCAATGTGCCTGATAAGTGTTCATTTTGCATGATTTTCACTTATCAATTCTTCAAGTTTTGGTCTTCGTTCGTACGAGTTTTCGGCTTTATTTGTTTATATTATGCGTTTCTTGTTTTATTTATATTTTCAGGTTTTGTTAGCTATTTTTGCCGATTCGAAACGATTTTGAAAGCGAAGCCGAGAATCAAGTCAAACAAGAGCAAAAATTGCAATCAAGTGGATGGTGGCAGCGTTCGGTATTTTATGCATAACTTCTTCATACGACCTCCGATTGAGCTGATTCAAATGGATTTAGAAAGCCAACTGCAAGGGCTACAACTTTTGTGAAATGCAAAATTGTCAAATTCGGGCTACAAAAGGGTCAAAACAGAGTTTGAAGTTATTGCAGCGACCATATCGCGATATTAACTTCCATATCGCGATATGGGAGAAAACGAAACAGAGAGCTTGCATTTTTGCCATATCGCGCGATATGCAATTCCATATCGCGATATGGGGAGAAACGAAACAGAGAGCTTGCAATTTTACCATATCGCCCGATATTGATTCCCATATCGCGATATGGGCCTTGGGATGCGTAAAAAATATCTAAGGCAAAGCTTACTATAAATAGAACAAGCCTCACTCTTCAAAAAGGAACATGACTTCTTCGAGAGAACTTCTTAGACCGACTCTTCGACTTCTTCTTCGGTTTTCTCTTCGGTTCTCGCCAGTTCTTCGCGGGAAGCTTCGACGAGGGTTTCGACTCGGGTTTTTCATAAGCTTTTTCTTTACGTTTAGTTTATGATTTCTCGTGTTCTTCATTTTGATGCTATGTTTGTAATGAACTAAGCATTTTCTTTTAGGGAAATGAAACCTTGTATATATTGATTTTGATTTCCAGATCAGTGATCTATTTGTCGTTCTTTGATTCTGTTTATGTTTTCCTGTATTAAATGCTTTCGATTGTTTGGCCAACAGTTGAATTGATTGTAAATGGGAATGAACTCGAAAGAGGATTTCTCGTTTGATTTTAGGAAAACATAGCTCGGGTTGTGGAAACGGAGACGTGATGCACCTCGGGTAGCCCTTAAGGACTTGACCTAAATGCTCTCTTAATATCAGGTTCTGAACGGAGACGTCGGACCTGTGGGTAGACTCTAACTACACTGGAGACGGGGGTTAGGGTATTTTAGTGTCTGGGTTAGCGAACATAGAATTGACATTAGATTCGGATTTGTAGATCTTTATCGATAGTACACTGGTGGATTTTACCCTAGAAGCCATCACACGTCGGAATTCCTTGCTTGTCCTGGCGGACCGTTGTTTTTATTTATTGTTTCCTTTTAGTTTCATTTCTCCCATCCATTCTTGATCGTCTAGATAAAGTTTAGGATAGTATAATTACGGTACTTGGTAGATTTAGGAACTTAATTCCCTGTGGATCGATATCTGGAATTCACTATTCTACAAAACGCGATACTGTACACTTGCGGTTATTTATACGTAGGTTTTACGCGTATCAGTGCCACCCGCCAAATAAGGAAAGTGCTCGTAAATCCATGATTGAAAGAGCGTCAGCCAGCCAGCCATCGAGTTCGTTGATTTTTGTGAGGCTGATGAAAGCTCATCGTACAACCGGCAAAGACATGCAGTGCCCCAAGCATACTCGCCGATCCGATCCAAATCAGATACAAGATTTAGATACTCCACACTTACCATGTTGCCTGTCTTGTCGCACAGTATAGTACACCCGAGCAAAAATAACAAATACGCCCGAATGGCGTATGTCCTCTTCTCCGCACTATCTCTCATGGTCACTTTGCTAAATTTAGCCTTCAACCATTCCAACTTCACCGCTTTCTTCTTGTTTACATCGTCCGGGTACTCACCTAGCAACTCGAACATCAAACTACTGGGCTTCGTTTTGGAATCACGGATCAAACGCTCGCAAGATACGGTACGCCCAACAACTGGCAAACCGACCAACGTACTCACATCGTCAAGTGTGATGGTCATCTCTCCGACAGGTAAGTGAAATGTGTTGGTAGCTGGCTGCCATCTCTCTATGAAGGCTCTAAGTAGATGGCCGTCCACAGTGTTGTACGATGCTTGTACAACTGACATTAATCCACATCTTTGTACTACCTCTGTAATAAACGGCGCCGGCTCCCAACCTTTCAAAGTTCCTGTGTGATTTCGAATTCGAAATTCTGAGCCGCGCTCCGAGCGATTTGGCCCTCCGTTCACAATATGATAAGCAATGTGCTTATCAAATTTTGTGTACAATTCCGGTATCTCGGGACCTCGGACCGGTTCGTTGCTCGAATCACCAACTTCTACAGTCGAAGGTAGAGCCGGCACCGGATTCGTTGACGAAGAACCCTCTCCAGACTTCTTCTTGGTCGTGGTCTTTTTCTTGGTCGTGACTGCTATGCCCTTGCCTCTATCGGATAATTCCTTCCTCTTCTTACGGTTCGAGACAGTCGGAGGTATACGAGGTTCACGTGGTTCTTCCACTGCAAAATAACACACAAATAAAAATTAATATACATAATATAAACACAAGCAAATAAAAATAGGAAATAAAACAAATTAAAAAAAATAAAAAAATAAAAAAAATAAAATAAAATCACAGTTCAAATTCGACAGCTAGCTGTCGAAATTTGGATGCGTTTTCGACAGCTAGCTGTCGAAAATTCTGTCGAATTACCAAAATCCCAAATTCAACAATTTCACATTTTCGACACCTATATGTCGATTTTTGATGAATTTTCG